TGACCAAGAGCAAACAGGTAGGCAGGCTGCTTCTTAATATTCTGAATGGAGTTGTTATTTGCAACTGTAGGTTGAGAACGCACATGCACTGCAGCCTCAATTAGCCTAGCTAGGTAGCGTTAGCCATCTTAACTAGCTTCTCCCGATTTGATGCAGACCAAGACAGGTACCACGTAATCATATTTGATGATAAATAACCTAGCTATTAGTCTACTATAGCGCAAGTCGGCTTGGTTGATTCCTTCCAAACCACTCATTGTTAAATTAGCGATTTCCAACTTGTTGTGTAATGTTTATGTCCAATGGCCGATGAGCACCGATAGGTTTTATCTATAATTTCTCTTCATATGACAAGGATTTGCCAGTAGATTGTCAACGTGATTCATGATGACTGCTTTTCTAGCTTGCTAGCTAAGATTGTGAAAGTATGATGTTGACATGATCAGTCCAATCAAAGCTACAGTAGATATATTTTTTATTTAAATATAACCTTTATTTAACTAGGCAAGTCAGTTAAGAACAAATTCTTATTTACATGACGGACTACACCGGCCAAACCCGGACGACGCTGGGACAGCGAATAAGGCCAATGACCTTGAGCCTTCTTGGACGGGCACTTCTAATGTAAATCTAAGGCAGCACCCAAGTGGGCTTGAACTGCCTAGCTCTCCCTGTAGATTCGGCAGTGACATAGTGTCTCCATGAGTGACAGAACACTGAGCCAATCATGGCACAACTAGAGAAGATTACCAACGCCTACGCTCTGTATTTTCGCTGGCATTTTGGAGCTGCCTTACTCAAGAAAGAGAACATATTTGTATGAGGCTTTATTAACTCAAGGAAAAACATTGTTTGCAAACTGTTGTGACAAATTAATGCCAAAATTACATGCAAAACAGGCACAAAAAAAATGTATTATTATATATTTATTTATGCTCTGCCCCACCTGCCCTGAATGACGGGTCGCCAATGGTTTTATAAATGTGCAATAAGCATAAAACCATTATATAAAGGAATTGGAAACTCGTTCTCATTCTGAGAAATAAGGTACGCCACTTGATTTCAACATCTGAACAAAGTGAACAGGCTAACAAGCATTTCAAACAGTTGGAGACAGACAGAAGGGTGTGTTCATAACAATTCAACTGTTCAACCTTGTTAGCTAGCAAATAGATCCAAGTTGGCTAAACTTGAAATATAAAGATTAGCTGGCTAATCACTAGCACATGGGCTTGAGAGATTGTTGATGAGACCTGTGTTAATTCTATACCCTAATGCCTGCTACAATAAGTTATCATTATTAGTGAATGTGCATTATGCATGGTTCTACACTGAACAGAAATATAAATGCAACATGTAAAGTGTTGGTCCCATGTTTCATTAGTCGAAATAAAAAAGGATCCCAGAAATGTTCCATACGCACAAAAAGCTTATTTCTCTCCAATTGTGTGCACAAATTTGTTTACATCCCTGTTAGTGATCATTTCTCCTTTGCCAAGATAATCCATCCACCCGACAGGTGTGGCATATCAAGAAGCTGATTAAACAGCATGATCATTACACAGGTGCACCTTGTGCTGGGGACAATAAAAGGCCACTAAAATGTGCAGTTGTGTCACAAAACACAATGCCATAGAGGTCTTATGTTTTGAGGGAGCGTGCAATTGGCATGCTGACTGCAGGAATGTCCACCAGAGTTGTTGCCAGAGAATTTAAGGTTAATTTCTCTACCATAAGCCACCTTCAACATCATTTTAGAGAATTTGGCAGTATGTCCAACCTGCCTCACAACCGCAGATCACGTGTATAGCGTCGTGTGAGCGAGCGGTTTGCTGATGTCAACGTTGTGAACAGAGTGCCCCATGTGGTCCTCTGTAGCTCAGCTGGTAGAGCACGGCGCTTGTAACGCCAAGGTAGTGGGTTCGATCCCCGGGACCACCCATACACAAAAAAAAATGTATGCACGCATGACTGTAAGTCGCTTTGGATAAAAGCGTCTGCTAAATGGCATATTATTATTATATTATTATGGTGGCGGTGGGGATATGGTATGGGCAGGCATAAGCTACGGACAATGAACACAATTGCATTTTATCCCTGGCAATTTGAATGCACAGAAATACCGTGACGAGATCCTGAGGCCTATTGTGAGGCCCATTTCTTTTAAGGTATCTATGAACAACAGATGCATATCTGTATTCCCAGTCACGTGAAATCCATAGATTAGGGCCTAATTTATTTATTTCAACTGACTGATTTCCTCATATGAACTGTAACTCAGTAAAGTCTTTGAAATTGTTGCGTTAATATTTTTATTCAATGTAGTTACATTTGTAACAAAAAGGGGATTTTCATAGACAGACTTGAAAGCCAGATCAGTGATTATTGCAAAAAAAGCAGGTTAAACTATTTTGATAAAATAATTAAATTATTTGTCGGTCTTATGGTTGTGGAAGGCTTATATTTAGCCTAGGTATAACTTAACAAGCCCTGAATTCATTCGATTATTGCTGACCGTTGAAATGCAGTGTATTTGACCTTTAATTAACACTTATTTAGAGAAAAAATAATAATAATAACAATTTCGAGGTACTGTATGATTTTTTGTCCATATTGTCCAGCCCTAGCTGTAACACAACAAAATGTGGAAAAAGTCAAGGGGTGTGAATATTTTCTGAAGGCAGTGTCCAAACACAAAATAATGACACAAGAGTGCGCATTCTTCAAGTATAAGAGGTCCTTAAATTGACACCAAAATAACCTATACTAAAAAGCCTATTCTACACCCAATTGAAGAGAAAAAAAGCCCCCCACCACATCATTTGTGACCAAGTTTTCATCTGATTTGTCTCAAATAACTTTGCTGTCAGGCAATGTAGACACAATGACCAATGTAACTAACTACACTCAGCCCAGTTGTAGTTAATATTAACGAGCTAGCTAGATATTAAATGGTGTTTACCTAGCAAGCTTGTGAACGCTAACTATATTTACCTAATGCAAATTTGAAGTAGGCTACTAGCTAACGTTTTGTAGTTAGCTAGCTATCCTCAATGACATTGATTGTGGGCTAACCAAGTTAGCTAGCTATAGCAAATCACAAGGCAAACTGACAAGATAGCTAAAAGCAACTTTATTTTGAAGATGAAGGAGCTAGCTAGTTATTTATTACACAAAATCATAACTACAACTCAATCACCAACTTACTTGAACTGTTAATGTAATGATATTATTTGGATCCATTCACTTCAGTCAGTCTTTGTCTGATCTTCCAATGTGAGGAATCCAGCACCTTGAATGAGCATGTCCTGCTTGAATGAGGGCCAGAGACAGGGAGAAACTAAATCCTCCCTGCCAGCCCCGTATCTCTTAAAAAATATAACAAAATATTTGACACTATATCTAATGACGTTCTACTCAATATACTCTAAACTAATTTCCTGTATCCCCTTCTCCCTCATACTAGATCTCATCCTCTCTCTTTCCCTCTGATACTGCCGACACTGTAGCAATACATGCTCCACGGTGTCTGTTTCCTGACAATAATCACACTTTCCTGTTGGATGCTTTCCTATCACATTTAATGTCTTATTCAACTGGCTGTGTCCCACCCTTAATCTTGTACAAATAGTCTACTCTATTCTGTCCCTTCCTGCCATCCTCCCCTCCCTGACTTTCCTCTGTACTTGAAATAAATGCCTTTCCTTATTATCTCTATTCCACTGCTCCTGACATCTCTGCACCATCACTGTATATATATATATATATATATATATATATATATATATATATATATATATATCAGTATTTTTGCCTCTGTCTTGCTCATTGAAACTTCAACATCCCCACTACTAAGTGCTTGTTTAGCCAGTACATCTACTGCCTCGTTCCCCTCCACCCCCACATGGTCTGGGACCCAAGTAAATCTTATCTGTATACCCATCAGTTTAAACCTGCCATGGGTTTGTAGCACCTCAAAAAGCAGGTATTGTCTGCTACGTGAGCTAAAGGACTGGACACTCATTAACAGTGCATGTGACACAAGGTCAGAGCATGAAAGTAAAATGTTATCTTCGGCTGTGAGTGCTGGGGGAAAAAATCGACCTTGAAGACAATTTATGGGAAAATTATATTTATTTTTTTGGTACAAAGGTGATAACGAAAGTGTCTTTTTAGGAATTTTGAAAATTGACTTCTCTTTGGGGACGTCAATTGGAATTGTCTTTCTGGGCTCGGCGTCAGTTAAACTGCAGTACCGCCAGTCTCCTCTGGGTACATGGGATGGCGTACTTCCCAACCGGACAGGAACAGGAACCACAACAGTAGCTAGCTGGTGGCCCAAAACATTGAGAAAAATCTATCTAACTTTCAAGGTTAGTGAAATGGAACGTTATTACCCACACCGATATATATATGTTAAAAGGGTTTATAATACTCTTACATCATGCATGGGTTGTGTCCCGGCTCATATAAGCTAGCTAGCCGGTTAGCGAAATTGCTAACGTCGTATAAAAGCTATCGTCGTTAGCTTACAGTCTAGCTAAATCAGTCTTATTTAGCTATTCGAGAACAGCAGGTAGATGGAGATATATTAATATATAACTTAGATTAGCCTCTGTATCCATGCTCGTGCATGATTCTCTTCGAGTCAATAGCCTCAGGCTCAGGTCTGGATTTTTATGGCACAGAAGCAGGTGCACTTGCACTTTAACATGGTCGCTGGTTGAAGATCCTTTCCGGCTGTTCCTTCAGTAGTTTCGTTTGCTTAGGTTGATATAATTTATTGATCCTTGACGAAAGTTTCATACAGCAGCAAAACCATAACTAGCTAAGGTATACAGTCTAGTAGTCACAAACTTTAATACAAGCCACACGTCCCTTAGTTCCATAAAACATCCATTGCAAAATTACAAGCAGGCAGACAGTAAGTACTGTATATTACTGCTGTGCTGAGTCACTGCCTCAATAACACCCCTCAATAACACTCTCTACCCCAACACATCCAGGGCTTGTGCCTGAGTCCGGCGTCCGTGGATGGAAGTGGAGATAGCGTTCGAGATGGGTCCTGAGAGAATCTTACCAAACTCTGAGGAGGAGCTGGTTCAGGAGCGGCCGTCGGACGGCGGGGTGCCCGAGGTGGGCGGGGAGTGGAGTGGAGAGGAAGAGGGCGGTGTGGGAGACGAGGAGGATAATGGAGGTTACTATTACCAGCCACTAAACCAGGACCCTGATGGACTAAATGCTGGACCCGGGGACCATCCTGAGGATATGCCCCCAGTAGCAGAGCAACTGCAAGAAGTCCAGGAGAGAATAGAGGTATCTAACCCTATATTCTGAATATGATCGGTTTAGTTTTTCAATTTGTGTCATGTGTTTATCATCTCTATTAAGACAAGTCAGTGAAATGTCAGTTGTCATATTGCTTGTCAAGACATTTATCAATCTTGATTGATTTCTCCACAGTCGATGGGCTTGCATCTTCCCCAGCCCCCTCCCCCAGACAGTGATGAGGAGGAGGACCCAAAAGGAGCCCAGCGCAGCGCAGCCTCCATCCCAATGGATGAAGGTGAGGACCCAGCCTTGCTTTGTTCATCCACAGTACCCCAACATACAGGGGTCAGGGGGATACTCATACTGCCTGAGGATTGACCGTAGCTCTTACAAATTCTACATGGTGTAACTCAGAATTACTTAGAATCATGAAGTTTCAATCTAATGTAGTGCCTTGTACTGATGTCCACTCCTCTCCTTCAGACCACGTGGAGCTGGTGAAGAGGACCATGGCAGCAGTGGCCCTGCCCTCTCTGGCCATCCCAGCCTGGGCTCAGGAGATCTCAGACGACCAGTGGAAGGACATGGTCCTGCAGACGCTTCAGACTCGCCAAAGCTCAGAAGGCCTGATGCTAGAGCGCAAATAAGACTGAATTGCCTCCTTCCCTCAGTCTGTCTTTAACTCTGCCCTGCATTTCACCAACACACTTACCCAAGGGGAGTCTGGGCTGAGGTCTTCTGAGCAGGTCATAGGTGTCTCAATTCTCAAGAGGAGAGATTGTGAAAACCCCTCTACGTCCAATTCCTATTAGATTAAGATACCGCTGCTGAATATTTGTTTTTGATAGGAGGCTCTGGGTACCTACTACGCCTAACCTGGTGCTTAAGGTCATTTGTAGAGTTTAATGTGGAGGTCAAATGAATGAGGAGTATAGTATATTTTGTCTCTCAGATCAGGCAAATTCTTACTGTTTCTGCTCTGGAAGAACTTGAATCAGTGTACTGGAGTACGTATTATGAAGCTCAATGCCAATGACAGATAAAGCCAGTTGGCCTTGAGTACAGAAATACTACTCTATATTAACCAGGAGTCTCCACCCACCACCATGCTTTCTGAGACATTCCAGTGTACAGTTATACCACCCGTTCCAACACCAGATGGCCTTTGTTTTATCATGTTTTTAATGTGATTCTTTCTATTGGTTGTGATTACCATATTTCAATACTATTTAATCATAGTCTTTGTTGAATGTAATATATATATATATACACACATACTCACCGGCCAGTTTATTAAGTACACCACTCCTCTGTAGCTCAGCTGGTAGAGCACGGCGCTTGTAACGCCAAGGTAGTGGGTTCGATCCCCGGGACCACCCATACACAAAAAAAAAAATTATGCACGCATGACTGTAAGTCGCTTTGGATAAAAGAGTCTGCTAAATGGCATATTATTATTATTATTATTATTCACAAAAATGGATCGTTCCTACAGACAGTGAGTCACGTGGCTGTGGCTTGCTATATAAAGCAGGCATAGAGGCATTCAGTTACTGTTCGATTGAACGTTAGAATGAGCAAAATGAGTGACCTAAGCGACTTTGAGCGTGGTATGATCATCAGTTCCAGGCACGGTAGATCCAGTATCTCAGAAAAGGCTGCCCTCCTGGGCTTTTCACACACGACAGTGTTTAGGGTTTACTGAGAATGTTGCGACAAACAAAAAACATCCAGTCAGCGACAGTCCTGTGTGCTAAAACATCTCGGAACGCACAACTCGTTGATCCTTGTCACGGGTGGGCTATTGCAGCAGACGACCACACCGGGTTCCACTCCTATCAGCTAAAAACAAGAAGTGGCTCCAGTGGGCACACGATCACCATCACTGGACAATTGGTGAGTGGAAAAATATTGCCTGCTCCGACGAAACCTGGTTCCTGTTGCGTCATGCTGATGGAAGTCAGGATTTAGCGTAAGCAGCATGAGTCCATGGACCCATCCTGCCTGGTGTCAATGGTACAGGCTGGTGGCGGTGGTGTGCCGCCGTCCAACCTGCAGAAACTGCGTGATGCTATCGCGTCAGCATGTACCAACATCCCTGTGGTACATTTCCGACTTGTAGAATACATTCCCCGAATAATTCAGGCTGTTCTGGAGGGAAACGGGGCTCCAACCCGGTACTAGATGGGTGTACCTAATAAACTGGCCAGTGAGTGAATGGGAATAACAAATTAACAATGAAAATTACCCAGTCTTTCTTGCACCATGAATTCTGCATAGGGTCATTGGCTAGTTTAATCAATGATGGATATTGTTTGTGAGGATAACAGATTCCCAAACTCAATAGATGTCCACTATTTTTGACTTTATTTTGTTCTGTACATACATGAACATCTGTACAAAATATGACTTTCATACTATGTAATGCTCTACCTAATTAAAGTACAACATATGTACACATGATCTGGAAAGCAGCTTAAGATGAGTGTGAGACCTGGACAGGAGGGAGGGTAGGAGGGAGTGGCATGGAGAGAGACCCTTTGTTTCAAAATGTCCTCTTCAGTTTGTGTGTGGCTGCTGGACAAACTGAGCACCGTTTCATGTCATCACTCGACACCCAGCCATGGCATGTAGTGCCCTGGTACAATGCTACCTACTTCTTGCAGTCTGGCATGTCTCAACAGCTACCTTTTGGAAGCATGGCCAATAGGAATGCATGTGCCTTGCTCAGTCAGGTGAGAGAACAGTAATACATTATTTATATTAAGAATTCATATTTTTAATTATATTGCGACTTATTGATATACGGTTTATAAATTCAAATGTCTCATGCACAGGTAACATTTTCAAACCTCACCAGAAGACAATTTAGAGCATAGGTCTTCGGTGCAGACAAGACTTGGCAAATCCAATTTGAGCCGATTCGATTTTTGTTTTACCGAGGGAGATTGTAGAGCTTATCGCTACTGTGATTACTGAGCACAGTACTTGCTAAAAATTTGAATCTTTATGTTAGGAATCCAACTCCAATTATATAATAAGCAGCTCCAAATAGCTTGGATTTAGACCGCTCGAACATTATTACTGTAAGGTCATGTTGAGGGAGGGAACTATTTGGCAGCCAGCCTCTAAGCATGTGTGAGATGACGAGTCACTTTGTCCAGCAGCCTTAGAGGAGTGAGTTATTCCCCACTGTTGGGAGTGATTGACAGAAAACTCAATAGACGAGACCATACGACAAAGAAATGATGACCTCGTGCAGCAAGTGGAAGAAAACAAGAGGGGCGAGTGGTAAAGCGATAAGTGAGATAAACCTACAGGACAAGGGGGTGGCAGGGGGTGCAACCCTAAGCAATATACATTACAATATACAGTACACATATTTGCACCAGTAACCGCACGCTTTCCTTTTTCCAAAATGTGCTAGTAAAGCAAGTATAATCATCTGTAGATAGTCCTATGAGGAGGATTGTTTTGCGCACTTCCATACACCATTAAGTGCATGAGTTTGTTTCTTCAACTCTAAAAATATTGCTTAGGCGCTTGAAAGAAACTGTAGAGCACAATCTAGGAAAGACACCTATTGAATCAAGCCGGTTTAGAGGAGGAGAAAAGTGAATAGGATATTTTGTAGAGATTCCCTGAACTGAAATAACCCTTTTCTTTCCACAATGAGGCCACCTCAACAGAGGTGCATTTTCATCAATGACAAACATAAATCCACAAACAACACATAAGAAAGAAAGGCCAGAAGATGGCTACAGAAGAATAACTAAAGAGGCAGAGGGGATGTTAGCTATTGGGACAGAAACATTAATAAACACAAAATAATTATGGATAGGAATGGATAACAATCATGACATTCAGAGTCTGGACAGAGCAAAGTGAGAAGGTTATCTTTAAGAAAACAGAAAAGGATGGACGGACACTGCAGCAGCTTATGGTTGCCTTTCCTAAAGACCAACATCTTGAAGACAATATTAGCCTGACATCCTATCGAACTGAATTATTTTCTGAGGTTTCTTTTTGACACAGTGACATTATTTGCTTTTGAGCTACACCTCTAGTTATGAAAATACAATAAACATTTTTCAATGGGAGCTCTATTACAAGTTTAGACATTTGTTCAAAACTTATTCTCTTGTATGGACAATAGCTAATATATCATTGTTTTGTATCTTTAAGTGCTTTATAGTGGACAGTCCGGCTAGGAATTAACATATGAAAAGCCATATCAGTTTTGTGAACTACAAAACACTCAGAACAAGTCTCAAAAACAGACCAAAACAAAAAACAACTCCTACACTTCTTAGTGCAAGCAGATGATTGTGATTGTTTTCTCATTGATTCTGAGGGGGCCCTAGGAGAGAATTTGGTTGGGGGGGGGGCCTCTTGACAGCTGAGAGAAAATGTTTACGTTTTAAAGTAAATTTCCTGCAAATCTTATTTATGTATGACTTTTTTTACCCCTTTTTCTCCCTAATTTCGTGATATCCAATTGGTAGTTACAGTCTCGTCCAGCTGGCGACCGATGTCAGCTTGCAGGTGCCCGGCCCACCACAAGGAGTCGCTAGAGCGCGATGGGACAAGGAAATCCCAGACGGCCAACCCCTCCCCTAACCCAGACAACGCTGTGCCAATTGTGTGCCGCCTCATGGGTCTCCCGGTCACGGCCGGCTGTGACACAGCCTGGGATCGAACCCAGGTCTGTAGTGACGCCTCAAGTGTTGTGATGCAGTGCCTTAGACCGCTGCGCCACTCGGGAGGCCAATTTCCTGCAATTCTACACATTTTCGAATGGGGTGGAGAGAAGATTTAGCAATTTTATAACTAATTTCTACTCATTTTGCCATGGGGCAGAGAGAAATGTGCAGTTTTACAGCTAATTTCCTGCAATTCTAAACATTTTGCCATGACTTATGCCATGATAATACGATATCTGAGTTAGAGTGACTAACAAAATCAATGGGGGCCCCCTGGAGGTCAGGGCCTTTGTGCCTGGTCGGTAATTCGGCCATGATTACTATAAGTTTAGATAGCTGGGTAGACTAACTTACCAATCTAAAAAATGTTAGGTGACATGGGCTAATTGAGTGAATGTCAGTGACTGACATAACAAGAGAAACTGCTGATGCACAACCAAATATCTAAATTGCACCTTGTGTATTCTACTATTCTAACGCTCAACAGTAAGTTGAGACCCAGACTGAATGCCCTGCATACACAAATTACCTAGGCTTACAACCATGCTATTAGCATACGACTAACCAACAGGGAGAATGTAATTCAACAGATGCTGTAAGGCCATGATTTAAGGATGCAAAGAGGTGACTTTATGAAGCTACAACTACAGTACTAAAGAGTGAGAAAAACAGTTTAATGGAAGAGACTGACATACAGTAAATCATTAAATTAAGATAAAGGCAGCCATCTTGATTCCTAGTGCTCTCATTTCATTTAATTGCTTTGCCTTGTAAGCTTTGTGTCCCAGACTTGGCTTCCCCAAAATGTACTATGTTCCCTGCACATGAACTGACAGCTAGGTTTTTTTTTACCGAGCAGAACCACTACTTCCACTAGACGTCCAGCTGGACTAGAGCATGGCCCTATCATCCACCAAACCAATCAGATAACCCTCACTACAGACAAGCTAGCGGGACGACCACTCACTCTACTGCCCTCTATAGGTAATGCTTGGTCGTTCTCTTTTAGCACAGCAGATCACAGTGGGAGGGAGGAACATGAGGACAACCAAAACCAATCCGAAAGGAAACAGAAACAATAACAAAGAAACATGCTTCACGGATGCTTACACTTAATACTACTGTTGTATTATGGTTGTCCTCGTGCAACCTAACGATCGGCCCACTGTAGTCAAGTATGTGTGAGTATTTGGAAGTTGGAACAATTGTAGGTCTGTGTGCATATCTGTATGTTTCTATGTGTGCGTATAGGAGTGTGTGTGTTCTTGTCTAACTCTGTGATGGCCCTGGTTTTCTGCAGATGGGGCTCTCCGGCAGAGATGGAGGGGTGGTGGGGGTTGAGGAGCGGAGGCGAAGAGGGGGCTGTTAGATGTACAGCAGGCGATTGTTTGGATGAGAGACATACAGGAGGGGGGGGGGGGGGGGGGGGAGTTAGGCATGGAGGGTGCCACTGTTCCCTTGTCAGAGGGCCTCCTCGTTTGCCGTCAGGTACTCCTCTGCTCGCTTGTGCTGCTCCAGGGCTTTTATAGTGTACACGTCCTGCGGCAGCTCCGACTTCCGCCGCATCAACACCTTGTCTTTCTTGATGTCCTTCATCCCCTATGGAAGAATATACGTAGAACGAAGTTCATATTATATCCATATCCAATACATATCCAATACAGCAATGAAACTTCTCAAATGGACAGACAGGGTCTGGTGAATTCTGAAACTGACACGAGTTGGATGAAGCATTCGTTTACAACTTTAAAAACGTAGAAAGACAAAAAGAAAAAGAAATAAACAAAACAGTGTTGTTTTTTCTTGATTCATTGATTGGTTGGTAGGTGTATTAATAATAGGCTGGAACAACAGCCTGCAGGGCGTACTGTATGTGTTACGGGGGGTGTGAGTACATATCTGTGATTCAACAAATGAAGGCCTTGACGATTCATTGATTAGTAAGTAGGTGTGTTAGGAAGTTACTAGGCTGGAAAAACAGCCTGCAGGTGGACGTATGTAGACAGCGTGGTGTACCTCTAAGGGTGCTGGTAGTTGTACCTGTGTGGCCTCTGTCTCGACAGTCTTCTTCAACAGCTGAATGTCCTCAGCAGTGGGCGTCTCCGTCTCCATGGAGTACAAGGGCACCCCTCCCGGACTCTCATTGTACATCATGTACTGGAAAATTACAGATAGAAACAAATTAGTTGGATCTGGTCTGGATACCGACTGTGAAACACACCCACGAATGTACCAAGATCAATGTCAGATAGCCCATTGAATTCAGTAAGAAAAGAAGCAAACCTCTTCTTGTGGGTGGAGACCAGGTCGGAGTTTGGTAACCTGCAGATAAAGCATAGGTTAAAAGATAGATATTTCCTCTCTCACAGTCAGACATTAGGCAGGTTTCCATTGACCCAGGTTCATTTGACAAACACAATGTCGCAACAACAACAAAAACACTGCGACGTGTAATGCAAACAGCAGCTATCGGAGAAATGTGCTATCAGTTGTTGTTTTTAATCTGTTCGAAAGGGGTGGATTTTATTTTAGTCAAATGTTCTTTATTGCGACAAATGATGGAAACAGTGTTATTCAAATAAATGATGATTGCTGAATAATGTTGAAAGTTCACAGGGCATGTCAGCACGTGACTATAAAGCTCCACTCCACATTTATTTTCTAAATGCCTACTTCTTACTAAATCTATACTTCAACTATAAAAATGATGTTTCTTTGCCGGACAACGATTGCCTTGACTTTCAAGAATGGCCGAATTGCTTCGCCTTGCTTTTCTGGTTGGCTGGATGCAAGTTTCACCATTTAATTATTTCAGATCTACAGGAATGCAAGTCTCACCATGGCACGGACCGTGGCGATACATTGGCACATGAGAATTATTAGAATATGGCAAATATTAGTACATTCTTGCATTATATCCATGCTGGCTTTTGCAGGCTACCTGACATGAAACAGATTGGTGGGAGGGCTGTCACCAATTTATTAATGCGCAATTTGCCTAAATGGATAATGGAAACATTTCAACTACAATTTGGTATTAGAAAATCTGGGTTTTTGCTGATTTTCTTTTTTGGGTGTGACGTCATTACATCCAGCTGTTTTTAATTGACACAAGACAGTTACATGGAAACGCACCGTAGCAGGCAATTGTCGCATCTATTTTCTATGCAAAATTTCTAAAATGTCGACCAAAATAAATAATCACTGGACAAGTTAATGGAAACATAGCTACCGACACACACCCATATCTTGGCTACATTCATGGAAGCACAATTCCTCTTAATTAAAACTTCAGCTCTTTGTGCCTGAGCCCTTGGAGATGGGAATCAGTCACAAGAGATGATCAATGATGATAATTAGATGTATCTGGAACAAAAATGACTTTATAAAGTCTAATTAATTAAAGCATGACCCTGTTTAAAACCCCAAAATCCCCACCTCCACCTCTTGCTCTACAGACAATCACACACAACCATAGCAACATAATTATTTTCTCTCCCTTTCCGTTGCTCCTGGCGACAATGATATTATGGGATGTATTTGCAGAATCAGGATAATAGACAGGAAGTGTGTTGCTAGGGACCATTCATTTGATATTACATACAATACACTTTTTAAAAAGCAAGTCAAATCCAATTATGCAGTGTCCATCTACAAATGTCTAATGTGGAAATAAATAGCATAGTCTAATTTCCTGAGCCTACTCCCTGGAACAGCGTGATGTGAATGTTCCATAATGCATGGGGATGGGGTTGTGGTGTTTTTGGCAACCTGCAGTGGGGATCACCTGAGGGTTATGCTTAGCCAGCTCCTCAATCTTGTGCCAGACCTCCTCACGCTCCTTCAGCTTGTACTTCTCTCTGAAAACACATCAGCAACAAAAACAACTTTGAGTTGGAGCCAACCAGGAAATTATCTAGCTTGGCATTTTACTGTGCTTTGAGGGAGAGGATCAATAGTTCTACAAGGGAATAAAGGGAAGATGCTGATTTAATAGAGGACCATGCAGATGTCCTCTCTGAGCATGCCCAGTGGACTCACTTCTGTTTCTCAGCCTTGTACTGCTGGGTGCAGTCATCAAACAGCTTCTGGTTCATCTCCATGAAAAGCTTCAGGGCGTTGTAGATCAGCCCATGGATTGTCCTAGACATAGGAAGGGCATTTAACACAATGCAATATGTGCAGGTTAACATACAATTAATCATTGAAATGCATCTTTCAGAGAGTGCTGTACATCCATTTTTTTATGGATTATATTCAAAAGGATCCAGTATCCCATTTTTAGGAGGAGAAAAATATTTCTGCACAAAGTGCATTGTCTGTTCTTCCATTACAACAATTAATTGATTTCTTCTCTCAAATGCGAACCCAGCTATGGCAACCAGGGTTATAATTGCCAGGCTTGTTTTGGAGGCACATCAGTTTAGCAGGAGCATTGATCTTTTAATTGACTTGGATGCAGGGGTCATACTTGTTCCAGTGGCTCTTGGAGTTCTTGTAGAGAGCAGGGAACATGATGGGGAGGATCTTGGCTGCGTTGTCACTGATCAGACTCATGATGTACTCATTGTTCCAGTAGTACAGCGCCCTCTCTGCCACCTTGAGCACACAACAAAGGAGGCCATCAGAAACAATACGCTTGTAATCTACCAAGGCAGTCATCTTCCATTGTGGGTACTGTATAGTTCCAGTGCTTGTTCACTCTGTTCATGACAAAATATCGCACTTGATTCTAAGACAAATTACTTTAAACTGGCGTGATGTTATTTTTCCTTCCTGAAGGCAATGCCATATTCTGTTATGTTTGTGTCAGTGAAGCTGAATGAGTAAACACAGCAGTGTGAGTGAGCATGAGGCAGGTGTAGTGTACCTGGAAATGTGGACTGGACACACACTTGGCCAGCTGTCTGAACAGTGGCTCCATGACCTTGACGAACTCAGACGGCTCGATGACGTCCAGGATCTCCTCCAGCTCGTTGAGGAACATCACCTCTTTCGGGCTGTGGGTCTTAGGCCAGAACTTCAGCAGGCCCATGATCACCTGGGGGTCAAATCATTTACACAACATTAACATTCACTCTGTATAAAACCATATATTGCCCAGCTAAGGACCTTTGGCTGACAATTCCCATTTGAAGACACGCCAAACTCACTGGTTCAGTTAGACTGCTGTCCTTTTCCAAGAACTGCACGACGCAATACGCCAGCTGTGGAGAGAGAGTGAGTGAGAGCATTTCAGCAGGAGCTGATATAAGAGTGTCATGTCTGACCCTCACACTGTGTGAGGGGGCCCTTTCAGAGCACTATGGTACCTGTGGGTGGTAGACGCTGAGTGACTTCACTTTGTGAAGCGGCAGCAGCACTCGGATCAAGAACATTTTGTGCTCCTCTTTCAATGGCAGGGCAAAGCCGTTGATTATGCTGGGGATAAGGGAAGACTTGTTTTAGATTAATATAAAAAAAATTAAAAAAAGAGATTATGTGTTGACGGGATAGTACACTCACCTTCCTAAGATTTCTAAGAGCTCGGCGATTCCATTGTGATGCTCGGTTTCATATATAAACCTGCAACATGAGACCAGGCTAAGGTCAACTACATTACATGGCACAGATAACAGATATACTGACAAATTACTTTCTACATACATCAATCACAACCTCAACATTTGACAACCTTGCAGTTCTTCTTTGTTGCAGTTACATATCTATTCTCCCAAGAACTGATAGACTCTCTCCATCAAACTCTGAATAGATTTCAACGGCGAGCTATGCAGCTGCTTGCAAGACAGACACATTGAAATAGAATATCCCCCAAACAAGTCAGTGTCCTGTGTTAGGTGGACCGCCAGCCACATTGAGTGTACCTGTAATTCTATTTCTACGGACCGACATACCTGGTGTACAAGGAGGTGTAAAATCCATATCTCACCTGTAGAATATGTTGTTGATCTGTCTGCGGATGTAGGCCCGGAGGCCAAGGAACTTGCCGTAGATCCTGTGGAGGATGGTCTTCAGGAAGTCCCGCTCCCTGGGGTCTTCACTGTCAAACAGCTCCAGGAGCTGTGAGGAGGAAGGGGGTGGCATGATCATGTCAAACATCAATGCATAGGTATTCAAGAAACTAGCACTGTATTCAATACAAAAGATACAATGTGACACTTGCAATTGTAGAAGCTAAAATACTTCAATCAGGCAAAGGTAGAAAATACTCATCAGACAAACACAAAGCTTTTATTGACCAACACACTGAAGTGTTCAAGACAATGTAGCACACAGTATCAAGTGGTGCGGTGAAAACAAAATTAGATTGCTATGTGATTTCATAGCGGCTGGGTTTCCCCATAACATAATGCAAAGCAATGTGTGTTTGGAGCCCAGGACAGTACTCAGAAAGTGAGTAGGCTGACTCAAGTCCTTATTAATATTCATTCCCAGCAGCGGTGGATGGGAAGCATCATGTGGTCAGATGGAGAAGAGTGGTCCCTGCTAATTCCCTCTCAGCTCTCATGACTCTCTACTGTGTGGGAAGGAGACAGAAGCTGACCAATGTTTGAGTACACCCACATCACTAGACGGCTACCACCCAGTTACTCAACCCTGCACCTTAGAGGCTGCTGCCCTATATACAGACATGGAATCACTGGTCACTTTAATAATGAACACTAGTCACTTTAATAATGTTTACATACTGCTTTACTCTTCTCATATGTATATACTGTATTCTATTCTACTGTATTTTAGTCAATGCCACTCCGACATTGCTCATCCTAATATTTATATATTTCTTAATTCCGTTATTTTACTTTTAGATGTGTGTACCTCCATAACATGCTAAATTTGCACACTGTATATTATATGTATTTCTGTTGTATTTTTGACTTTGTTTTGTTTTACCCCATATGTAACTCTGTGTTGTTGTTTTTATCGCACTGCTTTGCTTTATCTTGGCCAGGTCGCAGTTGTAAATGAGAACTTGTTCTCAACTGGTTTACCTGGTTAAATAAAGGTGAAATAAAATAAAATAAATAAAAATTGTTGTGAATTATAGATACTACTGCACAAGCATTTCCCTACACCGCAATAACATCTGCTAAATATGTGTATATGACCAATACAATTTGATTTAATTTGATTTGATACGCACACGTAAACAGCATCATTCCTGACTGCCTGAGCACCTGGATATTACACATATTGCCACGTAGTCCTTTACACTTGTACCCGTATACGGGTTGAAAATGGCAGATTTAGGCACTGATTAGCGCCTAAATTTGAACGCAGTGGCTGTACAGTAACATGCTATAAATGACGTCAGAGCTCAGGCTCTCGCTGTATGCGTTTTGACTGACAGCCGTTCTGAACATGAGCGCCGCACGCGTCAAGAAGTTCCCATCCCTCCCGCTAATTGGACAACTTTTACCAAAAAAATGGTTGTCTGAGTGAGGGAAATGCTCTAAATTAAGATGACTCGATGTATTTTGAAAGATGAGACGTTGAGGATTATAATAAATACCGCTTTGATGTCATCCAAGCAAGCCAAATATGCACTTCACATTTCCATATCATAAAACTCATGTCATAATGTTTTTGCTGACTATGCTTGATGTACAGTTACAAGATGACATGGCGTCATACCCTGAGTTGTTCTGAACAGAATGAGCCTGTTTGTCTATTGTGAAGGAAATATGCTGCAGAACACACACCTGAATGCACTCATGACTTTTTTCTATGCGCACCAAAATTACAATCTGTTTCTCTGAATTGCATTTTGAAAGCCTACCACTGTAAGATCTAGTCATGTTGGCAATAGAACAAGCATGGCTAGGCACGAAGCCAACACCATCATTAAGTTTGCCGACGACACAACAGTGGTAGGCCTGATCACCGACAACGATGAGACAGCCTATAGGGAGGAGGTCAGAGACCTGGCCGTGTGGTGCCAGGATAACAACCTCTCCCTCAACGTAATCAAGACAAAGGAGATGATTGTGGACTACAGGAAAAAGAAGAAGACCTAGCACGCCCCCATTCTCATCGACGGGGCTGTAGTGGAGCAGGTTGATAGTTTCAAGTTCCTTGGTGTCCACATCACCAACAAACTATAATGGTCCAAACACACCAAGACAGTCGTGAAGAGGGCACGACAAAGCCTATTACCCCTCAGGAGACTGAAAAGATTTGGCAGATCCTCAGAAAGTTCTACAGCTGCACCACCGAGAGCATCCTGACTGGTTGCATCACTGCCTGGTATGGCAACTGCTTGGCCTCCGACCGCAAGGCACTACAGAGGGTAGTGGGTACGGCCCAGTACATCACTGGGGCCAAGCTTCCTGCCATCCAGGACCTCTATACCAGGCGGTGTCAGAGGAAGGCCCTAAAAATTGTCAAAGACTCCTGCCACCCTAGTCATAGACTGTCCTCTCTGCTACCGCACGCCAAGCAGTACCGGAGCGCCAAGTCTAGGTCCAAAAGGCTTCTTAAATTGTCAAAGACTCCTGCCACCCTAGTCATAGACTGTTCTCTCTGCTACCGCACGCCAAGCGGTACTGGAGCGCCAAGTCTAGGTCCAAAAGGCTTCTTAATAGCTTCTACCCCCAAGCCATAAGACTCCTGAACAGCTAATCAAATGGCTACCCAGACTATTTGCATTTTGTCCCCCCCACCCCCTCTTTTACGCTGCTGCTACTCTGTTTACTATCTATGCATAGTCACTTTAACTCTACCTACATGTACATATTACCGCAATTACCTCGACTAACCGGTGCCCCCACACATTGACTCTGTACCGGTACCCCCTGTATATAGCCTCGCTACTGTTATTTTACTGCTTTTATTTTTTACTTATCTATTTTTTACTTAACACTTATTTCTCTTAAAACTGCATTGTTGGTTAGGTCTTGTAAGTAAGCATTTCACTGTAAGGTATTCGGCGCATGTGAGAAATACAATTGCCGTTTTTGGATTACGTAAGCAACAACAGTAATTATATGATGGCGGGACGCAGGGATGTGTTCCAAACAAAACAACTACCTGTGTGTTTGCTCTAGTTCCTCAACGGCACAGCTAGGAGAGCTCAAAAAAGCACCTTATAGTTGAAGACTCTTCTTTGAGTCATAAAAGTGCATTGAAATTGCTTAGGAACTGTGCACACATTGGAGAGGTGCATGGCCACTTGGAGACACCAGTTAGTCCTCTCACTCAAAGCCTTGTCATTATTTCTAGGAATATTCTTATCATGTTACTGAATGTATCCAGAGAATTTTCAGATTTTGTTATCAACAAATGCGGCAAAAAGTGCAGTAAATGTAAAATGCACATGAAATCAGTGTAATTTTTGGATTCCCTGTTGTGTCCTCAACTTTGGTCTAATAATTGTCCCATAATCTCCAAACTGTTCCCTTTCAATTGCTACCAATGTTTATGCATTTCATATTTATTTTGTAAGAATTTCAATTTAGCCCTATCCACATAGGTCAAGTCCCACGAGTGTAAAGGGTTAGATATTTCAACAGCTTAGCAGTTACAGGGAACACAGTTTGCGTTGTACCCAGAAGGATACTTACAGACAGTACAAACTTTTGGTCAATGTATTTTTTTGCGACATTTGGCTGGAAATCAGGGGACTCCAGGAATCGTAAGAAGAATTCATACACCAGCTGGAGAGAAGAAGAAAAAAAGGTTGATGTGATATGAGGGTGTCAATACTGCATGGAAATAACTTTTCCTAGTCTAAATTCCAAATGTAAGAAAAAAAACACGTTACCTGTAGGTGTGGCCAAGCAGCCTCCAGTGTGGGCTCGTCCTCTTCTGGGTCAAACTCAGCCCCCGTGGGGTTGGAGGATGGTGGTAGGGTCCTAAACAGGTTGATTGAAAACTGAACAGGGCAGATGAGAGGTGTCAGACAACATGGCAACAATCAACAATGCTAAAGCTACCATCCGATTGTACATTTCAGGAAAACACAGCACAATCCATCTGATAATCTGATACCACACAAAAGGAATGACATTCATTAGATCAGAGCACAAATCATTTGACAAACAGGTGGTGTTGAGAGAGGACCCAAGTGTGCCCTGGCCTCTGCCTACCACTGAGAAAGGCCCTGGTAAGGGCTGTTTTGAGGTAACCCTGCTAACTCTGTTTAAAGGCTGTTTAGGTTAGCCCCGCTAACACTGCCACTGGGAGAGCTGCAGCTGAGCAGCATCCTTCTGCCAGCATCCTTGCAGCTGACATAAAGCAACGCTTCCCCAGCACCTACTTCCTGTCTGGGCCTGAGGCTGCCGCCGCACAGAGCCCCTCTGGCACTGAGGAAAGAGAGAGGCTGGAAATAGCCTGCCTGGCTCCACAGCTCCAGAGCTGCACCTCAGCATCATTCCAGAACACTCACACTGTGAGAGACGACAGCAGCAAGATGAAAGGGAGCAGGAGGTGGTTGGTGTGAAAGAGGGAAAGTAATGGACGACGGAAAAGCAGAAGATGTACAGTACGATGGCGAGAGAGAGAATGTAGGACAAAGAAAGAGAGGAAGAAGGTGAAAGATATACAAAAGGCCAGTGTTGTTGGGCATTGCCAACAATTTAGAGATGCTGAAAGGAAGAGCAGGTGTATGGGCCATGATTTGTGATGGATAATTGATAATTCCCCAGTGCACACTTATTACTTGTTGAGCAAAGCACAAAAAATGTGTCACAAGCAGAGAGGGAGAGAATTCCCCGGGGGGGGAGAAGAGAACTACAAGGGGAAGGAGGGAGGAGAGAGGGAAAGAGTACTTCAGAGAAGGAGGGACAATACCCCAGGAGGTAGGAGAAAATACCCCAGGAAGGAGGTAGGAAAGAATAATCCAGGAGGGAGGAGAGAGGGTAGGTGTAACTCAGAGGAGAGGGAGAGTGTATGACAGGGGGAGGAGAGAGGGAGAGACGCCGGGCTTAAAGGCTTCCAGAGGGATTTGGCTCGATCTGACTCATCACCTAAATAAATAATGAACTTTGGAAGCTCCTCAAGGGTTTGATGCCGATTCTCTCCCCCTACTGTGCTGGGTGGAATCCTGAGCGAGGCCAGGCATGTGTCATTACAGAGTCAGGATGTGGCATGCTGAGGTGACAGCATGTTTACACCCACAACATGTGATTAAATGTTGGCCCTTCCACACTGTGTCAGAGTGTACAGTCCATTCGGAAAGTATTCTTCCCTTTTTCCACATTTTGTTACGTTACAAGCTTATTCTAAAATGTATTAAATTCATTTTTTCCTCATCAATCTACACACAATACCCCATAATGACAAAGTGAAAACTGGTTTTTAGAATTTTTTACAATTAAAAACAAAAAACAGAAATACCTTATTTACATAAGTATTCAGACCCTTTGCTATGAGACTCGAAATTGAGCTCAGGTGCATCCAGTTTCCATTGATCATCCTTGAGATGTTTCTACAACTTGATTGGAGTCCACCTGTGGTAAATTAAATTGATTTGACATGATTTGGAAAGGCACACACCTGTCTATATAAGGTCCCACAGTTGACAGTGCATGTCAGAGCAAATACCAAGCCATGAGGTCAAAGGAATTGTCCGTAGAGCTCCGAGACTGGATTGTGCCGAGGCACAGATTTGGGGAAGGGTACCAAAACATTTCTGCAGCATTGAAGATCCCCAAGAATCTTCCTAGAGCTGGCCACCCGGCCAAACTGAGCAATCGGGGAAGAAGGACCTTGGTCAGGGAGGTAACCAAGAACCCGATGGTCACTCTGACAGAGCTCCAAAGTTATTCTGTGGAGATGGAAGAACCTTCCAGAAGAACAACCATCTCTGCAACACTCCACCAATCAGGCCTTTATGGTAAAGTGGCCAGACGGAAGCCACTCCTCACTAAAAGGCACATGACAGCCCGCTTGGAGTTTGCCAAAAGGCACCATGAGAAACAAGATTCTCTGGTCTGATGAAACCAAAATTGAACTATTTGGCCTGAATGCCAAGCGTCACGTCTGGAGGAAACCTGGCACTATCCCTATGGTGAAGCATGGTGGTGGCAGTATCATGCTGTGGGGATGTTTTTCAGCGGCAGGGACTGGGAGTCTAGTCAGGATCGAAGGAAAGATGAACAGAGAAAAGTACAGAGATCCTTGATGAAAACCTGCTTCAGAGCGCTAAGGACCTCAGACTGGGGCAAAGGTTCACCTTCCAACAGGACAACGACCCTAAGCACAAAGCTAAGACAATGCAGGAGTGGCTTCGGGACAAGTCTCTGAATGTCCTTGCGTGGCCCAGCCAGAGCCCAGACTTACCCCGATCAAACATCTCTGGAGAGACCTAAAAATAGCTGTGCAGCGACCCTCCCCATCCAACCTGACAGAGCATGAGGATCTGCAGAGAAGAATGGGAGAAACTCCCCAAATACAGGTGTGCCAAGCTTGTAGCGTCATACCCAAGAAGACTTGAGGCTGTAATCAACAAAGTACTGAGTAAAGGGTCTGAATACTTATGTAAATCTGAAACATTACTAAAAACCTGTTTTTGCTTTGTCATTATGGGGTATTGTGTGTAGATTGAGGAGGGGGAAAAAACTATTTAATCCATTTTAGAATAAGGCTGTAACGTAACAAAATGTGGAAAAAGTCCAGGGGTCTGAATACTTTACGAATGCACTTGTGACTGCATGCATGTTGTCTTGAGTTTGTGTGTGTGTTCTCTTCTTACCATGATGACACCCTCGGGGTAGATGGACTCTGTGACCACATCGCGGTTGTGCGTGATGTACTCCACCATCTCATTCAGACCGGCACGCTTCACCTCCTTGTACTTCAGGTCGCTTAGGGGGTCTGTGACAAAGTCAAAGAGCACACAGCACTGCCGCAGCTTCTGCACAAACAGCTCCTCCCGGTCGATAAGGGGTGCATCTGAGGAGGGGAGAGAGAGAGCAGAGGGTGAGATCAATGGTGTATGTCTGGGGGTTAGGCTAGATCAGGGCTCTCCAACCCTGTTCCCCCGAGAGCTACCGTCCTGTAGGTTTTCACTCCAACCCTAATTTAGCGCACCGGATTCTAATAATTAGCTGGTTGAAAAGCTCAATCAGGTTAGTTACAACTGGGGTTGGATCAAAAACCTACAGGAGGGTAGCTCTCCAGGAATGGGGTTGGAGAGCCCTGGGCTAGATAGTGATTCATAACTTCAGAAAACATTATACACTTGGTCTGTCATTTTGTGATCCCCTAATTTTGTGTCCAAGGCTAACATTGAGGATAAAGTATCAGAGTCATACACCTCCATTCATAGACCATGTTATTTACGTCGGCTCAATTGTACCCTCCCCCTGTTGCTCTTTGTGTTGTGAAACCCTGCTATTCCACACAGCTAGCTACTGCTTTAGTATTCAGAGACTCCCTTACGCAACTAGGCTTTCATTAAACCACAGCATAGAGTGTGTGACTAGTGTGTTGTTGCATAATGGTAGCCCTTCACACTCGTACCCGGGTTGAAAATTGCAGATTTGGGCACTGATAAGCACCTAAATTGGAACGTGGTGGCTGTACAGTAACATGCTATTAATGAAGTTAGAGCTCAGGCTCTGCGCTTCACAGGTTTTGACTGACAGCTATTCTGAACTTGAGAACCGCACGCGACAAGAAGTTGCCCTTCACATTTCCATATCATAAAACTCATGTCATATACTGTGTCAACGTTTATGTTTGTTACATGTACAGTTACAAGATGACATGGCGTCATACCCTGGGTTGTTCTGAACAGAATGAGCCCGTTTAGCTATTGTGAAGCAAGTTTGCCACGGAACACGCACCTGAATGCACTCATGATTCCTTTCTACGCACACCAAAATTATGATCTGTTTCTCTGAATTGCCTTGTGAAAGCCTAACACTGTAAGATCGTATTTTATAACTTAGCTAAGTCCTGTTGACAATAGAACAACTTTTCAAATGATGCCCACCTGACCCAAGTACAAGTGTGCTTGCTCTAGTTCCTAAACAGCACAACTAGGAGAGCTCAAAAAAGCCTTTTATAGTTAGACTCTTCTTTGAGTCATAACAGTGCACTGAAATAACTGTACTTGTAACTGTCCATCAAACATAGTGATCATAAACGTTGACACAATGTACACCAGTTTAGTCCTCGCACTCAAACCCTTATCATTTTTTGTGTTGCACCTATCCCAAATTTTTCAGAAATAGTCTTATCATGTTACTGAATGTATCCAGAGTATTTTAAGATTTTGTTATCAACAAATGATAGTACAGTAAATATAAAATGCACATAAAATCAACAGTGAAACGTTTGGATTCAGCCTTGTGTCTGGTGAACTGTTGTGTCCTCAACTTTGGTCTAATAATTTTCCCATAATCTCCAAACTGTTCCCTTTCAATTGCTACCATGCTTATGCATTTCATACAGTATTTATTCTGTAAGAAACATTTCAATTCAGCGCTATCCATATAGGCCAGTGTTACCCAAACTAGGGATCGCGACCCCATGTGTGGTCACCTGCAGGGCCTAAAATAAACATTTTGGTCCACCAGCCACTGTGGCAGGTAGACTCAAAAATCTACCAGCCACTTAGATTCTTTACCAGCCAAAATATTTATTTGCCATAATTACATTTTTATGACCATGCTTTGTAATGTTTCTAAAACAAGAAATGTATTAGAAAGAAGTAATGTGGTATATTTCTCAATTTCATTTCATTTTTTGTGACCTGTGTCTTTTAATCAAAATATCAGAGACAAAATGTGGTAACTGGGGCCACTCGAGTCCTGTCACCTGTGTCTGTGTGAGAGATTTGGGATCTGACCACAGAGTTTCTAAACCCAGAGACACAACATCGTGAGACTTCCGGTAACACTTGCGAAGCAGACTAAGTAGGCCAGGCCGGGGTTTGGGGTTTGAGAAGTCAATGAAAGAAGTTAGTTGTTCATTTTCTCGAAATCTAATCGCACAACCTAGATTCGAGCCAATGTCTTAAGTAGTTGAATATGTTATTACTCCAACCTCGTGGAAGTGACAAACTGACACGTTTTCATTTTCATCAAAAAACACTTCATATCGAAGGCAGTAACAGTGCATGGGTAAAAATCACTGGGGAAGCCAAGCCCCCCCCAAACAAATCCCATATTACAACCTGTGTCTTGTGATAATTCCGTTGTTTGCTCTATGACCTGTTAATTCATATGCCTTGCGACCGTGATATATAGGCCTAAAGGCTGAGACAATAAGAAGACAAAGTGGCAGAATAAATTCAACCATACCTTTGTTTTATCTCAAAACCGGATAGCAACCATTGTCCAGTGAAGTCCACAAAGCATATTGCATGTACAGTAACAGACAGTTACATGACCTACAGCATGGTCAAGCAAGTTAATGTTTCAGACATTTTCGGACCACTAAACAACTATTGATTTAGAACCAGAGAGTTACCGCAAGACGCTAAGAAAACAGGAGCTGCCTCCACTATTCCAGCACCATTTCAACTTCAACATCATCAAATCACCTCTGCTTAGTACAAGACCGTGACAACTAAAAGATACCAAAAACTATTTAGTCCAATCAACGTAAGCTAAATATGACGTGGCTGTCCATGGTTCTGATTTCTGTGTGCGCGTTCATGGAAGTACGTGCATATCCCAACCACAAGCCATGGATTACATGCAACATCTGCACCGAGCTAAAGGCTGGAGCTGCTGCTTTCAAGGAGCGGGACACTAATCCGGACGCTTATAAGAAATCCCGCTATGCCCTCAGACGAACCATCAAACAGGCAAAGCGTCAATACAGGACTAAGATTGAATCCTACTACACCGCTCTGAAGCTCGTCGGATGTGGCAGGGCTTGCAAGCTATTATGGAGTACAAAGGGAAACCCAGCCGCGAGCTGCCCAGTGACAAGAGCCTACCAGATGAGATAAATGCCTTTTATGCTCGCTTCGATGCAAGCAACACTGAAGCATGCATGAGAGCACCAGCTGTTCCGGACGACTGTGGGATCACGCTCTCCATAGCCGATGTGAGCAAGACCTTTAAACAGGCCAACATTCACAAGGCCGCGGAGCCAGACGGATTACCAGGACGTGTACTCAGAGCATGCGCTGACCAACTGGCAAGTGTCTTCACTGACATGTTCAACCTCTCCCTGACCGAGTCTGCAATACCTACATGTTTCAAGCAGACCACCATAGTCCCTGTGCCCAAGAACGCGAAGGTAACCTGCCTAAATGACTACCGCCCCGTAGCACTCATGTCGGTAGTAATGAAGTGCTTTGAAAGGCTGGTCATGACTCACATCAACACCATCATCCCGGAAACCCTAGACCCACCCTAATTTGCCCAAACAGATCCACAGATGACGCAATCTCAATCGCACTTCACACTGCCCTTTCCCACCTGGACAAAAGGAACACCTATGTGAGAATGCTATTCATTGACTACAGCTCAGCGTTCAACACCATAGTGCCCACAAAGCTCATCACTAAGCTAAGGACCATGGGACTAAACACCTCCCTCTGCAACTGGATCCTGAACCCTGGACTTCCTGACGGGCCGCCCCTAGGTGGTAAGGGTAGGCAACAACACATCTGCCACGCTGATCCTCAACAGGAGTGCGTACTCAGTCCCCTCCTGTACTCTCTGTTCACCCACTACTGCGTGGCCAAGCACGACTCCAACACCATCATTAAGTTTGCCGACGACACAACAGTGGTAGGCCTGATCACCGACAACGATGAGACAGCCTATAGGGAGGAGGTCAGAGACCTGGCAGTGTGGGGCCAGGAAAACAACAACTCCCTCAACGTGAGCAAGACAAAGGAGCTGATCGTGGACTACAGGAAAAGGAGGGCCGAACACACACCGATTCACATCGACGGGGCTGTAGTGGAGCGGGACCCAGAGTTTCAAGTTCCTTCAATCAATCAATCAATCAATCAAATTTGATTTCTAAAGCCCTTTTTACAACAGCAGATGTCAAAGTGCTATACAGAAACCCAGCCTAAAACCTCAAACAGCAAGCAATGCAGATGTAGAAGCACGGTGGCTAGGAAAAACTCCCTAGGAAGGCAGAAACCTAGGAATAAACCTAGAGAGGAACCAGGCTCTGAGGGGTGGCCAGTCCCCTTCCGGCTGTGCCGGGTGGAGATTATAACAGTACATGGCCATCAAGGCCAGATTTTTCTCCAAGATGTTCAATCATTCATAGATGACCAGCAGGGTCAAATAATAATCACAGTGGTTGTAGAGGTTGCAATAGGTTAGACCACAACTACTGACAACGTCCATGGTGTCCACATCACCAACAAACTATCATGGTCCAAATACACCAAGACACCCCCTCAGGAGACTGAAAAGATGTGGCATGGGTCCCCAGATCATCAAAAAGTTATACAGCTGCACCATCGAGAGCATACTGACCAGTTGCATCACCGCCTGGTATGGCAACTGCTCAGCATCCGACCACAAGGCGCTACAGAGGGTAGTACATCCCTGGGCCAAGCTTCCTGCCATCCAGGACCTACAGTATATACTAGGTGGTGTCAGAGGAAGGCCCAAAAAATTGTCAAAGACTCCAGTCACCCAAGTCATAGACTGTTCTCTCTGCTAGCGCACGGAAAGCAGTACCGGAGCGCTAAGTCTAGGTCCAAAAGGCTCCTTAACAGCTTCTACTCCCAAGCCATAATACTGCTGAACAATTAATCAAATGGCCACCCAGACTATTTTCATTGACCCCCCGCTACACTGCTGCTACTCACTGTTTATTATCTATTCATAGTCACTTTACCCCTACCTACATGTACAAATTACCTCGACTAACCTTTACCCCCGCACATTGACTCGGTATCGGTACCCCCTGTATATAGCCACATTATTGTTATTTTATTGTGTTACTTTTATTTTTTAC